GATAAACACGCATAACGGGGGGCCTGAATTTGAAAAATTTAAGTTGTAGATGAACTGGGAACATTCGCTGGACGGAAAACTGCTAACTCACGGGCCAAAAAACTGGAAGGCTGAAATTTTAAAGGGATGTTCTCTGTCCAAGTAATACATAGTTGCACATTTAACTTCCCGAACCTCGAGGACCATTATGACACAGGTTCTAGCTACAGGGTTCCAAGCGATCTTACTACAAGATGGTTGCAAGGTTCCGCCTGGTGCGCATCGCCAGTGATTTTATTAATTGCTCTTATCGACTTCCGAGAGCATTAATCGCTAACGTGAAATAAAGCACTGTGTTCTGCAATTGTCATTGTTTCTGACTGTGGAAAACTGCCTCTGGAAATTTGCTGTCACGTGTGCACCTCACAGTGCATCTCAAATCTGCACGAAAATGCGGTCTAAAATTTTTTCCTAATATGCACTCTCTTTAACGTTTTCTTCTCTTTTGGTGGTGAAAGCATCGTGTCCAGCACTGTCGTTCTTATCATATTTCGCGTTCTGCTTTGATCGAGTATCAGTGAAATATCAGCGTTGCAGAGCGCCTTATCGTTCGATGCCAGTGTGAGCAAGGAGCAAGACAGATCGTCGAAGCCGACGTTGGAGCAGCTTCGAAATTCATTCGCGCTGCCAGTAACTGCCAGCAGTCCGAATCCGCTCTCAGCTACCACGCAGTTTCCTTGCTGTCTTCACGACTGTTACCATCAGCAGCAGCAACAGCAACTGGCTGCGCCATATTTGGGCACATCAGGTGTACCGACACCGCAGGGCCAGTGCTCACCGTCGTTGCCCACAGCCTTGGAACATTTTGCGCAGCCTGGCGCCACTGCTGCTATTGGTACCACATCAGCGCCGTATTCCCAGTTTCATCCATATTTCCCACCTCCACATGCCTTTTACTTTCCCGGTGCGCAGCAACACGTCTCTCCGCAGGTAATTCCTAAATTTAGCAAATTTTTATAGTTTCTTTTTGGCCTTGTGCTTTCTGAATGAAACTGCGTGAAGTGGATATTACTGAATGTGCGCTGTGTCCTCTCCCTTTATTATTAGCACCGCTTATCCACAAATGGTATTGGGTAAAACGTCTCGCTCCGAACAGCTATTGCTTCATCGTGGCACTCCTCCTCGTCAAGAATGAATCTGGCAACTTTTGCACAGCGGTTCCACGCCCTTTCTACTAATTCCACCCTTAAGTAGTATGCAATTTAAAGCAGCAGCTGCCAAAACAGCATTTGAAATTTGCCACTTAACTGACTATTAGTTACATATTGGTTGCACACAGAAGAAAAAAAAAAAAACAGTCTTATGTAATGTCTGGTGCCTCTTGCTCCGAAATGGGTTCATGGAGTTAGTCTTTTCGTCGTCTGCTGATGGCGAGAGGAGTTAAGAGGAAACTAGAAATGTACATGCCCTCCCTTTTTATCGTTAGTTGGTTGCAGTTTATCTTGACTAATTAAATCACTGCAAGTTGCGCTGTTTTTTAAGACATTTCGGTACTTCTCCGTTTAATTTGTGCTTAACGAAAAAGAAAAAAGCGGATATAAAGACTCATATAGTAATGCACTGTTGTATATAATACATGTATTTTTCGCCAAACAAAACAACTGTTCCACAGTTCGCTTTCTTTTGAAGCAGAGGCACTCGAAAGTAGCGCAACTGGTGGCACAAACCGCAGAAATCACCATCGCTTAAAATTGCTGATGGCTGTGTTTTCCGATAATTGTTTTAAAATAAGCTAATGGTGTAAATTGGTATTCTTCTGCGGTAGCCCAGATTACACCCTCAGTGCTTCAATACAGGCCTCAGAAGAGGCAGCCATCAGTTAAAAGACTGATTATGCAACTGACAAAGTCAAATTCTCGAATCATTAGCATGAAAGCAAGCTATTACACTATGCACGGCAGGATTTTATCGAAACCAGCATAAAAGCGTAGCTGTAAGTCGGTCGAATTCATGATGTTTTACTGGCAGTTATAGCAAGGGACCAAGAAAGCTAATTACACAGCCGTTCCTTCAATTATAAGAAGACGGAAGAATTTGGTTTCAGTAAAAGGAAGAATTTGGCTCTAATTTTTTTAAAAAGAGCTTGTAAAATAAAAGAAATTTCCCTTGCGACTGCAAATATCTCAAAAATTTTTGATGCCAAAAGTACCAATTCATAGCTAACGTATCAGTAGCAGTTCGTAAAAGAGCAAGCCTGGACGCGTGACTTCTTGGCCATTGGCATCTTCATGTGTGGATGTCGCTTGAAACCGTTAACGGGAGCCGGACGCTAGGAAATCCTGAGCGGTTTAGCACTGGGATAGATTGTGAAGCAAGGAAGCAGGAAAGAGAAAAATGTGGGAGAGTGGACATTTTGTTGTCTTAGTGTCACCAGGACACATGTGCGTTTATTGACTAAGCGTCAATGTATTCGATTCAGCTTAATACCGTTTTTGAGAAGCGGTAGCTTAGTCTGTGCCCTCCCTATGTTTTCCCTTCTTTTTATGCGTTTTGTGTTGTGTAACAGCAGCACAAAACGCATATTGTTACGGAGTTTGTGTGTGTGTGTGTGTCTCGCACTTTCGACTCGAGAACCACAAAAGCTAGGCCGCTAAAGTTTTAATATAGTGTTCCCCGCCAACGTATGACGCGGCAAATTTAAATTCAGCCTTCCCGTACCCGCGGGTAACACGTACAGCTCGGTAAAAGTTTTAACGGGGAAAATTATTATCACAGGAACCGCGTAAGCTAGAAGGCTGAAATTTTGTAGGCGTGTCCCTCAACCATATGCTACCCAGAAAATTTAAATTCAGCTTTCCGCTGCTCGCGGGTAACATGTACGGCTCCGTGAAAATTTTTGACGGGTAAATGGAACCACAGAATCTAAAAAGCTAAAATTTTAGGGTAATGGCCCTCTGCCCACGAACGATCTTGCAGATTCAAATTCAGCGTTCCCGCACTCTCGGGTATCACCTACGGCCCCGTGAAAATTTTTTGCGAGTAAATTATTATCTCAGGAACCACAAAGTCTACAAAGCTGAAATTTTAGGGTAGTGTCCTCTTGCCCACCTACACCTTACAAATTCAAATTCAGCGTTTCCGCGCTCTCGGTTATCACTTACGGCCTTGTGAAAATTTCGGCGGGTAAACTATTATCTTGGGGATCATGGAGAGATATTCACCCCTCAGTGTTTCAAATTTAGCTTTCATATGCCGGTATGTGAAATTTTTAACTGTTTTTCAACGTTTCAAATATTTTTGTAAAGACTAAATAAAAATCATTAATAGGCAATCGTTCGGTGGGCTAAATTGCACAAAACGCGTGAACGCGCAGGTTAGTTCTGGTGCGCGTTGCTATTTATTTTCTTCTAGAACATGATAGCATCATTTTCTCGCGAAGCTTGGCAACGCCTGCTATTACTGACTGAGCGATGTAAATGCATTCCATTTCCCCCAGGCATTTTGTCCATGAATTACTTTTCAATTCAGTTTTCCTCCCCACTCACTGGTTATCTGCCTATACATCTCCCTGTTTATATACCCTTCTATTTCCGTGTGTGTGATACGTTGTCTTATCTGTTATCGTTTTGCGAGCAGTGCACTTTCGAACTGATACCTGGTGTATTTGCTGTA